TTCATTGTTTGTATCTTTAAAATTTCTACAACACTTAACGAGCTCTGTTGGTAAATAAAGTGAAAAGCGTTTAGAGGGGAAATCGGCACAAATTCAGAATTTCAAAAAAATCGTGGCAACTATCTCTCCAGCTATTCACGGGAGATAATTCTCCGATCTGTATTGCAAAGAATGACACAAAACTTACTGATATTGAAACCATCCAGCATCAGTGTATCCATTTTGGTGAATTTTGGGAACGTATACATATCGAGGCCGGACCAGAAGAATTCCTGTCCATGTGGCCGCATTGTCATACCCGTAAGATCCGGAAACGAACTGAATGCTTGCTCCAATGCCTTTTCCTGAAAATAAAATAAAAAAAAAAGCAAAATATTCCGAGTTATATCACAAAAGCCCAGAAGAAAAACTGTTAAAATCAGTAAAAAATAGTGAAAGAGTCAAGCTGATTATTGGACAAAACAACTGGAAGTTTATAGGCCAGACTATCAACTATAACTATCACAAAATTCCAAATATATGTAAGTTCAAGCCTTCAAAATAAGTCAGGTGTTAGGTCCCTGCGTGGTCTTTGACTGCAGCAACGGAAGACAGTGAAGAGTGTCAGTGTGCTTTATTTACTAACACAAAAGCTTCATTTCAATGGAACGAGCCGGGGCGTTGCACAGACTATCCAACGGAGGGGGAAGTGAAAGATCCCACGGGCCGTTTGGGCCCTATGGGCGGATGGAATTAGGAAAAGTAAGGGCTGAACCGGCACTGGATGACTCTGACTGGGCTGTGCATAACACGGAGTCGATCCTAAACGTTAGTCGTATCAAGGCGGCCAGTTGGTAGCGCTGGTCTTATCAAGGTATGGCGCACTCTGGTTTCAAGACTCCGACCCCCGGAGTTTTCGGAAGGAGTTTATAAGGGGTAAATTAATGGAGGGGAAAGGAGGGCAAAGGGGGTTAATAAGTGGGCACGGTAGGTAAAGCAGAATGTGGAATTATTCAGAATATAGTAGAGGTGTTAGGAATTAGTGGGTGAAGGGGAGTAGGCCAAGTGCTTAGGATTGTGCAGGGAAAATGAGCTGTGAAATCAAATGCTTACTGTATTGTAGGGATACAGATCCAAGCATCTCATTCGAATTTTCGCTTCTTTCAGTCTTCCTAAAAAGGCTGAATTAACAGCATCTTTCGATACTTTTCACTAAGCTAGTTTTGACAAAAAGTGAACTGACTTTAGAAAAAGCCATCGAATTTGGCCCCAAAAAAAGTATTGAATATCTTGAAAAAATTCCAAAGTTCTATTCTCGAAAAATGAAAATCTCGATTTCTTGCCAAATTTTCTTGAGTTCTAATGAGATGGTGTTAAACTTACTCAGTACTTCACCGGCAAAATGTGAATCAGTAAACCAGATTTTTACACTGCTAATTGATCGGCAATGTTTCAAAGCAACAAGCAAATAATCAGCTTCTTCGATATGATAACATTTGAGCCTGTAACAAATACATGCAGAATGCGGAATCATGATTATGAATCGTGATAAAACGATCACTAAATATGGTTAACGATTACCATTAGTACTGAAAACAACTATAAATTCTTTTCACAATCACCAAAATCTGTTTTCCCGGACAAGAAAATATAAGACCATTCATATTTGAATTCTGATAAAAGAAAAAATAAAAATAACAGCTATTCGAATGCCCAACGAAGAGGGGAACACATACATCGAACAAGCGTTAAGTGTTAACTGAAGGTAAGAAATTCAGGAGATCAGTCAAAGGCTTCGGATAATTACTTAGGGCTATTTCATTAACATTACAAACACTGAATCACCACATCGAGTACCCGGCAGGAAACTGGTCTCAGGAAGCAAGAGGGTGGGGGTGCTAAAAGGTACAAAATTCTGAAATAAGAGGATAAAAGCATGGACAAACTAATACAGTTAGCTCCTTATTTGTGGCTATTTCGTTAAAATCACAAACACAGAATCACCAAATCGAATGTCTAGGAAGAAACGGGTCTCTCAGA